AGGTCAAAGCCCACCCTGGAAGGACAGGGGCCGTAGAAGCCCTCAGCTAGGACAAGGTACCACAGTGCAACCACGAGCTGCTTGGTTTCTGCTCTATGCCTGACCTTCAGTATCAGGCTAAAGGCTCCACCTGAGCTGTCAGTTGTGGACTTCACCTCCCATCTAAGCGAACTCAGCTCCATTTGCCCTCACGTCCTGCTTCAGCAGTTTCTCCACCTTTGGAGGCAGGAGAAAGCCTTGACCCCGGGAGGTAGAGCAGCCAGCACCTCATGCTACATCAAGCTACTAGCGTTGATGAGCTGACCCAAAAGTGTGCTGACACTGGCAGCCAGAGGCAAAAGCTCCAGAGCTGCAGCAGTAGGCTGAGAGCTAGCCGTATGCTTCAGGGTACTGCCTAAGGAGAAGCAGGCCATTAAAGTATAGAAGCAAGATTAAGATGCTGAGACCCCTGGTCACCAAAACAAAGAGCAGAAGTAGCTTCAAAGACATTGAGGCTTAGCTGCATTTAAGTTGGCCTCCCAGACACAGAAGATAAACCCAAGAATCAGTTGTCTGAAAAAAAAAAAAAAAAAGTCTGAACAGCTAAGCCCAGCAGGAACTCGGTTTGACTGCTGGTTTGTCCATTTCATTTTCTTTTTGTTTGTTTTTTGAAAGGCAGGTGATTAGGCAAATTAAAGTTAGGTTTACTTAAAGCCAAGTTTGTAGAAATTGGCTTTGACTACACAAATTTCAGTACTGTGATTTTCCTTGTTCAGTCTCTCCCCACGCTCCCTAAAAGCCCATACTTGTTTTTCTTCAGACAAAAAAGACCAAGTCGTCACTCATAGACAAGTATCTAGGAATCGTACAGTACAACTAGAATGTACTGAAAAACATTTAATACAGTGATTGTATCTGGTTTAAGAAGCAGTGTCAATGTGTCCTTTTCTGCCAGAGCTCAGGTAAAGGATCGTTTATCCAGACTTCGTACCTCATCACACTAGAAGCAAACACTAAGAAAAAATGATAAAACAGCTGACACAAATTTATGCACCTCTTCTGATGGTCCAAAATATCTCAAATTGTCTGTACAAGATCTGCAAGCTTCCAACTACTTCACTGTAACTGCTCCAGCTTAAAAAAAAATAAAAAATCGAATGGGGCTGACAAGCCAGGTAATTGTCTTCTTGACAGACACGTGAATTCCCCAGCAGAGCTCACAAGTCCACACCTTTGGGTTAAAGCCAACACCCAAACACAAGGCATGAGAAAGAGCCAAGATGCTGGAGTAGGCTCACACTGCCTTCAAACAGGTGCCTCACGCCTGCACCCTGTCAGGAACAGCCAGCAGAGCCTCCCCAGCACGAGGTCTCCTGCCTTCAGCTTACTGGGCAGGCCTTCTTGCTCAGGTGGCTGCTCCTTTGATAGCGGTGAGCACCTCGACCCTTTCTAACAAAGGGCATCCCCCCGGGGGCTCTGTCATGCTCTTCAGATCCCCAGTACTCAAGGCACTGCTGTTCAATGGCAGTGCCCAAGCCATACCTGCTGCCAAGCAGGTCCACGAGCCTGGCAGACTTCTGGCACGCTACAACGAGGCACTAAATAAACGGAAAGAGCAAACCCTGATAGCCAAAGGGGGGACTGAAGGTGATGCTTTCTGACTGTCCTTCCATTTGAGACATCCCTAAGGGCTGGTTTTGCTTAGGAGACTCAAACATCAGCACAAATAGCAACAATGCATTTAGACTCGCTATACAGTGGGGAAAAAACAACACAAAACACAGGTGCTTCAGGGTGGCTTTCAGCACAGCCTGCCTCACACATCTGTAGCTATTTCTCTCTCCCAGAGCCTTCCAGTTCCTGCCAGCTTTACCCACCCACACACAGAACAGGACTGTGAAGAGCTGCACCACGCAGTGATGCACTAGAGGGAATTTCAGTTGCTCGTCTCTTTCAGAAACTCAGGATCACTGAAGTTACTGCCTACATGCCTTAGTATTTCCTCCAAATACTAGGAGTAGGTAGTATAACATTAGGAAGACATTTACAGCCTACAGCTGCTCAGACAGGGACACCAAGACCCGTCAGCACGCAGACAAGAACTGTCACAAGTCAGCCCGCTCTCCTCACTCTTCCAAAAACCTCAGTGGCTGCAGAGACAGCTCCAGAGCATTTCATTTGGAGGCTTTTTCCCCACAGAGGTGGCATCGAGCCTTCCTGTGCAGCTGGGAGCATGACAGTGCCCTACACAGCCCGGCCCTACAGCAGGTAGCTCCCAACATGTGCCAGCAGTGGCAGTCAGGTTCCCAGCAGCTCTTCCAACAGTTCAAACAAATACAGAACAAGAAACGCTTCCACAAGCTGTACCCAGAGTCAGCAGTCCTAATTATTGCTTCGTGCCTACTCTGGCAGATGCATCCTCAGCTGTAGTCTCCACCTTCTGAAGGATTTGCAGAACAAAGCAGCAAGGAGGTATAATCCCTAACTCATCCACGTACCTCACGCGTTAAAAGTAGGCCAGAAAGCCATGGATGGGTTTCTTCTTGATACACAATCACTATTAATAATGGCATTATCATTTTGAGAAAGACACATGTTTCTTCTTAAAAAGAAGATCCTCTTACACAGAGCAAGCAGGCAGTAATATGGGAAAGGTGCATGCTCAACAACATGAGCAGTGCAGAAGGTCCTCAGAGAGCAAGGAGCCAACTCAGGGATTTGGGAGTGGATCAGGACAACAGCAAGTGCCAAAGACCCACTTTTCAATGTGAGATGTAAAAGCCAGCAGAGAAGCCTTAGTGGTAGCTGTGGTCAAAGCAAAGCGTGATAAAAATGCAAGTGGGACCACGTTAAGGTGGTTAGGGGCTAGAGGATACTCACAAGGCTTCAGACAGTATCTAGCTGCTGGAGAACTCCCAGGGCCTTAGAGAACAGCAGTTAATAGAGATACACAGGCACAGGGTGAGGTTACAACATCCCCTGGATGCAACTACTTGAACAGAAGCCCAGGGTAAATAGAGCACCTGAGGCTTCAGATCCAGGGGAACACTGCAACATCTCCGGTGAGAGGAAGGAATCTGCGATGACAGGCACTGCGCCTCAGTTCGGAGCGCGCTGAATATGGGCTGATGCTAGGCAGCTGCAAGGCCCTACCAGGCAGAAAGGTTTTGAATATCGGCAGAGGAAGAACCAAGATGCGAGTGCAACTCATGTAAGCGTGAATAAACTGAGCTCAGGGAATCCTAGCCAACAGAAAGGAGGATGACAGACAAGGAAGCAAAGCTTGCACAAAGAGGAAAAGTAACCTAAGCTGAAGCGGACAATAGCTCCATGAAAACAGAATCAGTAACACCACCAAAAGGAAACAGAAGGTCTGAACTAGAGCTCATGCCAAAGAAGTCCTCAATATTTCATCATGAACAATTTCACAGGTCAGTTTCCAGAAGGCAGGACTAAGGGAAGTCAGTTCCTCTAGTGCAACTGACAGTGGGGAACTCCAGCCTGTAATTACACCTTTGGTGATGACAGGGATGCTGCTAGCCATGCAGTGGAGCAGGCCACTGCCAGAGCCTGGGGAGAGCTCACAGACCTGGTTTCCTCGCAGAGCTGTTCTAAAAACTGCTGCCTCAGACATCCGTGTGCACCATGACTAATAAAACCATACCTCTGCCAGCCACCAGCACGTATCGAAACCATGGGTCAAGTGTGAAACATCAGGAGAAAGAAAAAGCTGGCTGTATCTGCAAGCAGCAGCCTCCACTTCTTTTCCTCTAGAAGTTTCAACAAGGGAATGGTATGATGAAGGAGTTCAACAGTGTCATTACATTTTGATGGCGGGGAAGGTTTGATTTTCAGCTGGCAAACCAATTTTGCTTTTTCTTCTGAACCATGTCTTCTGGAAAGATACAAAACTCCAGACTCCAGGGTGTAATGGAGGCACCTCAACACTGCTCACACAACTCTGCTGCCTGGAAGGAAACTTCTTCAACATAAGAAAGGAAACCTACACGGCATCTCTACGTATAACCACCTCCCAGCAGGAGCTCCCAGGACAGCTGAGGCTCAGCTAAGTTCACCACTCCACCTCCAGCATGCAGAAAGACAGCGTGGGAGGAAGAGGTTTTGGTGAAATAGAAAACAGAAGACTTTAGAAATGCAGTCAAATTTTGACTTACTTGGCTACCTTATCTAACTTACTAGAAAGATGGAAAACAAGTGGCGGGTACGGGCAGAAGTCATCTGGTTAAGGAACTGGTAGGTGCTCCAGAACCTGGACATAAGGACAGACTGAAGTAAGAGCTTTCTTTTCTGCCAGTTCCTTTGCCTTGGGACAGGCGAGAAGCTTAGAAGCATCAAAGAAAGAACAGTGCAGAGAAAATGCTTGATAACACATGTAGGAGGAGGAGGAGGCTGGAAGCATCAGTATTGCTGGACTGAAGTGGCAAAAGATACCAGGCAAGGACTACAGGGATTCATGAACAGCTTGACCAGGTGGTGGCTGGAAAGAGCAAACATCAGCCAGGACAAAAAACAGCTGGAGAGCTGGAGGCATAACTGGAGCACCCAAGCTCCGAGGCCTGTGCCGGGGAGCAGCACCCGCGCCGAGCTGCCAGCAAGGACCGAGCAGCGCCCAGCACCGCATTCCCAAACGCCAGAAATGCACAAAACACACGATTTTTCCAGAAAAGCACAGCCTGGGGGGCCCGAACAAGCTGTGACAGCGAACGGGTCCGGAGAGCTGCCTGCCAAAACCACAGGGCTGGCACCCCCGGGAGGGGAGGGGAGCGAGGCAGCGCCCTCGCCGTCCCCGTCCCCGTCCCCTCAGCGCGGCCCCTGCAGCCCGGGGGCCGCCTCCCGAGCCCGGGCAGCCCCGGGCAGGGCCGGGCCGGGGCCGGGGCCGCTGCTGCAGACGTGGAGCGGGGCGGGGCGGCGCTGGGTGCCCGCACCCCGCCGCCTGCGGCTCCCTCCTCACCCCGCGGTTGTCCCCTTCCCCCCCCTTCTCCCGCTGCCCCCCACCGTACCCTTGGCCTCGCAGTCGGCGCAGTACTTGTTGTCCTCCTCCCGCAGCAGCTTGGCCAGGATGGCCTGGTGTTGCTCGTTCTGCTTCTGCGCCTTCTCCCGGCACGAGCGGGTGGCCATGGCGGCGGCGGGGCCGGGCCGGGGGAGCGGGGGAAGGGGCCCGGGGGGGAGGCGCCGCCGCTGCCCAGCCGCGGCCCCCGGCAGCCGCCAGCGCCGACTTCCGCGACCGGCGCTACTTCGTGGAGGGCGGAGGGATTCGCTCCTCCTCCTCTTCCTCCTCCTCCTCTTCCTCCCCCCCGCCTCCGATCAGAGCCGCAAAATAGTCCGCGGGGTGCTGCCGCCGCCTCCCCGGAGCCCTGGGGGGTTTTGGGTTCCTCGCGGCCCGCCCCGTGGAAAGGGCGGGGTGGGCGCTGGGACCGGGCGAAGAGGAGGAGGAGGATGAGGAAGAAGAGGAGAGGAAGGAGGAGGAAGGCTCTGTCCCTTCCCGCCCCTCAGCACCGCGTGGCGGTGCCGCCTGTCCGCCGCCATTTTGTGTGGGGTCCCCTCGCCTCGCTCTGTGCCGGCTGCCCCTCAGGAATGGCCCTTTGTCAGCCCCTATCAAGCTTTTTTTTTTTTTTTTTTTTTTTTTTCCTAATCCATCTCTTCTGGAAAGAGCTAGAGCCTAAATATATAGCCTATAAAATACTTATATGAGGCACGTGGGAATTCAGGTCTCTTCTCCTCAGATGTTAAACTCCTGAATCACACTCTGTATCTTTCTTATACTCAACTCCAGTGGTTAATTAATTATCCCCTAAATTTGGAAGGTTATGACAGAAAGAACTAAGAAAATGCTTATCACAATAATTTCGCAGTTAAGTTTGTATCACAGAATCACCAAGGTTGGAAGAGACCTCCAAGATCACCGAGTCCAACCTCTGACCTAACACTAACAGTCCCCACTGAACCTTATCATTGAGCTCTACATCTAAACATCTGTTAAAGACCTCCAGGGATGGTGACTCCACCACTTCCCTGGGCAGCCTGTTTCAATGCCTCACAACCCTCTCAGTAAAGAAGTTTTTCCTAATACCCAACCTAAACTTCCCCTGGTGCAACGTTAGCCCATTCCCCCTCGTCCTGTCACCAGGCACGTGGGAGAACAGACCAACACATGGGAGACCGTGTTTAGATCTCCCTCAAATAAATAAAGACACTCACAGTGCCCCGGTATTGGGCATGAGGCCGCAGGATGTGGACATGGTACTGATGTATGAGTCCAAAAGATGGGTTCACATCCTAGTGCTGCCGTGCTGTAGTGCCTGAGTCCAAAGAGGTAATGTACCAGAAGGATCGTAAAATTAACAGCAGTGTAGTTTGGTGTTAACCATGCTTTACTAGGGACTTGGTTATTGGGGTGCAATAGTCCCGGCTGTTTCAACATGACATTAAACAGGGGTGACCAGTTCCAGCTGAGTATTTTACCTATGAACATACAATTGTTCTCCTTTTCTAGCCCAATGTATCTTTAATTCTTGTGTCTTTTGTAGAGAAAAACAGCTCCAGCTAGAAGGGCAGAGGATAAGCCTCTGCTCCTCGCCTTCATCCCAGGGCTCTGGGGAACAGAACGCTTTTCAGAAAGGCGAGGACTGTGGGCACAAATGCCCTCAGAGAGGAAAGGAAACGAGCTTGCGTTTTATATGCTTGGTAAGTTCTTCTTGTGTTCTTATATCAAAGGACTGTGGCAGCAGCACTGCCATTTTAGAAGGAAATAGTACTTGCTTGTACATTTTGTGACAGACTCGACCTGTACGTTACATATGCTCTGAAAACATCTGCTGCACTGCCAGAAGGTGTCAAGTTCAGCAATCGGCTTAGCTTAATGTGCATCAGCTTCTCTGATCCTAAAATGAATACAGGGATACTTGCCATGAAAAGTGGCTATTGATCCAGTTTCTGTGTTTGAAAAAAAATTACAGAAGTGCAGAGTAAGTGTATTTGTTTAGTCTGTGCTTTGGCCTTAGTGCCTTAAACCCAGATGTCCCAATTGTTTATTTTGTGGGACTAACGCCCACTTTGCATGCATGCTTGAGTGGATTGGTATGGGATATCCTCTTCTAACTGTCAAGCATTAAGATGTCCTTCATGTGAAAATTATCCTTTCCTTCAGTATACTTATCCATGCTTTCTATAAAGTAGTGGAAACATAAAATTTCCTGCTTCCCTAGGGGACTGAGATGAGTAAGCTATTAATATTTTAATAGGTAGTGCTTTGAAAACAGCATGCTGTAAATGCATTATTAGGTATTTCCCTAAGAGCTTAAATGAATGTAAAGAAGATGAAAGGATAGCCCCTTTGCTGCTTTTCCTAGACCCTAAAGAACAGCAAAGTATTGTATATATGAAGTTACCGCCAGAAGCATTTTTCAGAAGGAAAATAAAAGGGAAGATGTCTTTCAGGATATGGTATGGATTTTAGAAAAAGCTAAGGTCTGCAGTGAAATGGCCAGGCAGTGAATGTAGTGCACAGAGGCCAGAGATGGCACCACCTCGGGCTCCTTCAGAAGGAGAAGACAGGCAGCTGTCTCGCTGAGCCTGTCAGCCTGGTGCCCTTTGCTTCACCTTTCATAAAGCCCTGCAGAGCACAGCCTATACAATCCAGCTTGGGAATTGTTAAAGGACATACTCGGGTGTTTGAAGAGCTGTATCTTCCAAAGCAAGCGAGTTTCACATGGCTAAGTGAATTTTCCATGAAGTAACTCAAATATCGGAGTTCTGCCATCATTGGTGCTAGAGGTTGTGTGGTGTTCAGTAAAAATGCACACATCAACCTTGTATGAAAAAAAGCTTCTCCCAGCTGTTGCTACTTGTCCTCCTGTGGGCAACCCCGCTGTTCTGCAGGGATACTTACAGGCAACTTCTGAAGCTCACGTTGTTTTATAATCTGATAGCTGATGTTCACTGCATATAATCTTCCTGGCTGAAATTCACCAAGTCTAAATACTTACTTTATTCAGAAATCTCCATATAAACCAACTTTAAATAGTATTTGCTAATCAGGGCAGTATTAGCATAAATTTGACTTAATGGAGGAGGATGTATCAGGTGCAAAGTTATTAACTGAAATGAAACCAGGTGTTAAAATAGCTGTGTTTTCCTAGTGTCTCATCTGCAAATATCAAAGTCCAGAAATAAATGGGTTCCAATTACAGAGCTTTTGAATTTGAGAATTTCCTTTTCATAAGAAACCTCACTCCTTCAGACATTTTAATGCTCTTACGGAAAAAAAAAATAAAATAAAAACAGAGAGAAATAAAGAAAAGAAAGATCTGTATCTTTCTGGGAAATGGACATCTCAGTAATGTTCCTGAAACTCAGTGCTCTGAAGATGTCTCCTCAGGCTGCAGAGCCTGGGATGCCTACGGACTCAGATAACATGGTAGCTGCAGCCCGTGGCTGTCAGAGAAAGGCAAAACCCAAAATGTTAGTATTAACCACTGTGTTCCAGAAAGCACTTCAGGTGGAATTTCCTTCACGAACTTGAGGTGCTTAAGGAAATCTTTATTTAGCAGTGAGCTGGCCACCCTTTATAGTCAGCTGGAGAGAAACAGACGTTCCAGAAGGTGATTTGTCTTCCTCTGAGACAGGCAGTCTAACTCCGGTGAGGTGAATTACCATCTGGTAGAGCCGGCGTTAGGAGGAGGCAAACCACTTGCTGGCATCATTTGTTTCCCCATTGGCTGTAAAGGGCAGGAAGGGTGATTGTCTTGTACCTGTGTGTACAGAAGTTGGTCATTTAAGAAACAGATTGTAAGTGTTATTTTTAATTAAGAATTTTCCAGCACTGTTTAGGAAAATTCCTGCCCAGCTCTACTTCTGATATCTTCAGACAAAAAAAAGAAAGGAAGCAGTAGTAACTTCATGGAAAATGAAGTAACAGCTGCACAAAGGCATCTAAACCTATGCCAGGGGATTTTGTTATTTTCCTTCTTTGCTTATAAACAAAAACAAAATTCCATAAACAAATTCAACAAAGTGTTAAAAAGCAGTATTTAATACTAATACTAATACTAATAATAATAATAATAATAACCCAGCCTTTGAAAATCAGAACGTTTAGTTTTCAAAGCTCAATTTTAATCCTGCTTCGATAAACCTTTTTAATGTCAACATTAAAATGGTAACACAAACTATACTATATTTTAACATACTACTTGCATTAATTTACGCTTCACAATACTACTTGCATTAATTTACGCTTCACAAAATTTTAACAGTACAGAAGGTATTGATATGGAAAGAAATTCCTTATGGAATGATGCAATGCAGAATTTATTAGGACAAGGCTGTCTGAACTACAGCTGAATACAGTAATGAATATAGTAGTAGAGCAAGTTTATCTCACTTCTTCCCCAAACAGGGTATTAAATGTTTGGCAGCCCTGCATGATCACTGCAATTGGAAGTCTGATATAACCATTGCACACCTGCCCCAGGAGCCGCAGGAGTTACTTGTTCGCCCCATAGTTTCAGCACTTAGTGCCTGCCCAGTGAAGCAAACAGTAACAGTGCATCATGCCCGAGGTGGTTAAAAGATATAAGAGAACCAAGATTTATAGGGGAGGCAGTATTTTCAGTGACTTCTTGTTTCTGTACAGCAGCTTGACTGGAGGGATGAGATATTAGAGGTAATAAATTTTCCTTCCAGTTTCTTGGTTCCTCATTTACGCGCAGTGAACAAGCAGCAGGTGCTGAACGCAGTTAGGGACATGATGGTATCACACCTAATGCAGTCTGATCTCTATAGGTGCTGACTGCTTGAAATACACTGAAATCTAAAGATTTCCGAAAATTAAGAGAAAAATTGTTAAAACTAGAAATGGAGCTCCATCTCTTGCTAAGTGGCATCGCTTAGTGGCATGCCAGCACATGGTGACACCCCACAAACAATCTTGTGTTCTTGAGAGTTATTAGTAAACCTGCATTGCAATTGTAAATACAAATGAGTACCTGGCAGGAAACTATGAATTAAATAGACGGATGCAAATGACTAAGTGCATTTTAATGAGCTTTGCTGTCAGTCATAAACTGTGTAAGCTCAGAAAAAAAAATCATTACTGTACAGCTAATAAGCATGTATGCAATTATAATTTAAACCACTGCATATATTTGGCCGCTGTATGCTTGCGTGGAATGTCGTGCGGCATAGTGTGGGTGTGCAAGCGTAAGGGAATGGAAGCTCCACACGGTTCCAAAGCAAGAAGAGATCTTAAAAACGAAATGCTTTGCGCTTCCCCAGCTCCCTGTGTATTTTCAGCTGTTGAAAGCTATGTGTATGTTTGCAGCCTGAGCCTTTTCAT